TTTTTTAAAAAAAAAAAAAAAAAAAAAAAAAAAAAAATGGTGGATTTTTACGAGGATTCACTAAAAATCGATCGTTTTACTTATATGCAAATGGTGAAAAACAGTGTTGTTGAACTTTTAAGAATCGCCACTGCAAAGCGGTAGATGCTAAAATTGAATACTGACTCAATGTTACTTACAATCTTGAAATTTTTGGCTATGATAACAGTGTAGACACTGCATGTTCCGAAGTACGCTAAGAATAGACCGAAGAGAATGGAGAATCTAGCCCATTTGGAGAATTTCCGGCCCCATGGAGGTCCGTTCGCAAAAGCAACCTCTCCCACATCTGCAAAGGTCATTGTAGTCACTTTCTTCCTATGATACAGCGAGTGTGCACATTTTACCTGAAAGCAGGAGAGCAATATGCTTGAGTTATATTTATGCATTAAAGACATTATTAAATTAATGAGAAGAAGAGAAAATACTTGCAAAGAAATACCCTATCCGTACGACAGGAAAATCTTCGGACATCGGGCGAACGCCCGCTATGGGAGAACGTCGTATAAAGCCCTCAAGTGTTGCCAACCAGGGTGTCCTCAGGTGTGTCTTTTGACACGGATTTTCTGGGAAACGTGTAAATATTTTGCTTTCAATTTTTTTTTCTATTCAAAGGAGCCCTATAACTACTTTCTAAATTCAAAAAGTCTAGGGCCCTCTTAAATCATCCAGTGAAGCTTTGGAGCATCACATCCGGATATCATGGGGCCAATCACCGGAAAAATCATAAGTTTTCCACGGCCTCCACGTCGATTTGGTGACCTGGTGTTTTGTGGAGGAAAGCTCTGTCCCCCACCTTTAGGGGTAAATATTTTGGACCCGGATGGGCCAATTTTTGGCGGATTTTCTGAAGAAAATATAGTGAATCCCTGTTAAAAGTACCCATTTTGAAACCCATTTCAGACATTTTAGATTGAATTGCGTAAAACATTGTGTGAAAATTTTGGAAACAAATATTCACGATTCTCCCAGTAAACTCGATTTTTATCGGAGGCAATTTGGCAACGTCTGAAGGTTCATACGGCGTTTTTCCTTAGCACGACAGCGATAATAAGTGCTCCTCTGGATCGGGTTTGTTTACATTGGTCCAACTTTGGAGCTCCATAATAGCCTAAAAGTGATGAACCAATCAGAGAGCGGCACAGAGATGGCAGTACTCTCCCGTATACAGGTACTTGATTTCTCGGAGGAGCTGCACTGAAAAAAAATTCTCGGCGTTTTTACCAAGGTCCGCTGGTGCCTTTACCATCTCACTTTTTTACCAATATTGGTAATTTTACCAAGACAGACTGGTAAGCTTACCTAAAAAACCGATATTTTTACTGGTTTTTTTTCAGGTAAGAATACCACTTTTATTGGTAATCGATTCCCGGTAGCTTTGCCATTTTATCTCGGTAATTCTACCACAGTCGATAAAAAATATTGGCGTTTTTACCGGGGCTCAGTAAAATTACCGAGAAAGTCAATAATTTTACCTAGATTTCTCGGTAAAATTACCAATTTCATAAATGGTAATTTTACCAAGAAAAAACTGGGATCGAATAGAACCCTGAATTCTTGGTAATTTTACCTTTTTCTTAGTAAACACACCGAGATTTTTACTTTCTCGCCCCCCTAGGGTAGAGAGGAAGTATTGTCATCCTCCATGGGGGAAAAAAAAAAGTTGAAATTTCATCATTTCTAGACGTTTTTTTTTTTTCAGTGTGGATGAAATAGGGACGTACTCTTGTGTTGGGTGCTTACCAGGACGTATGAGCAATGGGTGCAGACGAGAGAGACGATGATGGTGGCGAAGATGCCGGTGATCATCCCTGCGTTCTTGAAGGCGGCCGGCATGGCCAGGATCCCGGTGCCGAGGGAGGCCTTGAGGAGATGGGTGAGCGTCTCGCCATCGGTGGTGGCGTGGTCTAGCTTCCGCTCCTTGAACGGGTCCCAGTAGCCCTTCTCGTGGTGCCCGGTCCCTGCGGCGGCCTCCGCGTCCCGCGGCCGCGTTGGCAGCACTTGCACTTTGTACCTGTCAACATGCAAACCACCTTCAATCTCCACCACACCCACCCCAGGGGTATCATCCTGTATCGCGCTGAACGTTTAGGCACCAGGAAAAATACTTAAAGTGATTCGACGGATGCCATTTTTTTTAGTCAGAGCCAGGGTGGCATGAAACGTTAGAGAGAAATAAAAGATTAGAAATTTCAGTGATATATTTCATGAAATTTCACGAGGCTGGGAAATATTTCAAATTTTTCAGGGGCTAGAGTATGCAACCCGCACTCAAACTCACAAACATAGAGGAAAGTCACAATTTTAAAATTTATCGAGACATGATAAGGAAATGTTATTTTTCAATATCTTTCATAAATTTCTGAAATTTCATGAAAAATTTCAAGATTTTATTTTTCATGAAATATTCCTGCACCCTGGTCAGAGCGACGTGCGATATATCGCATCGATTGATTCCATTTTTTCGGCCACTCGTCATTTTTCTCGAATTTTGAGATCGCAATTCTGTTGTCGGGAGACTATAGAAGTCACTCACCAATTGACAAACAAATTCAACGTAATAGAAACGTGGTTTTTTTTTAGAGAGAAAATATCGCATTCGGGAGCAGTTTCGATATCAGTATCGAAATCGATAATTTTCCTCTAAAAAAACCACGCCTTTATTACATTAAATTTGTTTGTCAAAATTGGTGAGTGACTTCTTTAGTCTCCTGATAACAGAATTGCGATCTCAAAATTCGAGAAAAATGACGAAAGGCTGAAAAATGGAACCAATCAATGCGCTTTATCGCACATCGTTTTGACACAAAATATGGCGTTCATTGAATCACCTTAGGTAGGTAATTCAAACATCCTCCATGGCATGCAAGAGTCCCTTTTAATGGACAATTTTGTTTATTTTGTACTGTTCACAACTCAAAAATATTTTGCACTCGACTACAAAAATCATTTTTATAAATCGACGAAATTATGCTAAAAGGAACCACATATCGACGGTGAAACTCCCAAACCACATATCTCGGTTTGTGACGTTGCAGACTTCCTGTGCCATAATTTATTTTTAAAGGGGAGAACTACTCAACGGCAATTCTCAAAAACTGCCGTGATTTTTCCTCTAAGGTCGAAGGACATTCTGTAAAAACTCCAAGAAATACTGCTGATTTGTTCGTCTGTAAAAGAATAAGACAGGAGCGGAGATTTTCAAACACCGCAAACGAGATACGTAGTCTGGGAGTTTCACAGTCCGCTATGTGAAAATGCATGGAATTTGCAGTGCTTCCATTTCCATGTTCGTCAAAAGTTCCGAAATTCGGGACCTTTTTGTTCCCATTCTCTCACTCCATGACCGTCAAAGTCCGGGACTCTTCATAGATTATTTCAAAAGTTCCGGAAAATGCAAAAGATCCAGAACATTTAGAGAATCTCGAAAGTTCCGAAATTCGGAACTAGTTCCAGGAAATGGGAGCACTGGAGATTTGTTTGCTAAATGGTCCCTTTTGATTTTATTTATTTCAAAAAGTTCCTTTTGGCATCACTGAAAAACCAGATATAGGAGTGGTAGAATTTACCATTCCTTCACGCCTTATTGCACACAGCGTTAACTTAGAGTCAATTCTGTCAGAGGAAAGGTATAGACGTTACTATATACTGGTACCATATACTGGCACCTATACTGGCTACCATTCCTCTGGCAGAATCGACTTGAAGAATGGTAGAATTTACCATTCACGCTGTGTGAAATACAGCGTGAATGCATGGTAAATTCTACCAATATTTTTTTCCAGTGTAAGCACTGATGTCCACATGTAATAGGGATTCATTCCTTTTACTGGGTCAATAGACGGTGGAAGAGAGACGAAAATCACAACAACGTCACGGGTAATGACACAAATACCGGGACGGACTGGGAGCGCATTATTTTGTTTGGATTAGACGATAGAAATGACGGAATGTCGTCTTGGACGTCATCGGTAGCTACATTGATGATCTGTCAAAGATGACCTGGATGGACCCCTCTCAAAAAAGGATGCGGAAAAATGGGAGTAGGAGGTTGAAAGGGAGAGGGAGTGGAATAATGCCAAATGGCAGCAAGTTGTCCACCGCATGAGCTTTGAACCAGGCCCTTTTGAATGC